GGGGAGCAAAGGTAGTAGATTTTGTGTGCTCCAGCCACACACATGGATAGCAGGGGGGCTGAAGCACCAGTGTGGGCTCCCCAATGCTGGGGGAGCCCCAGCCTTGGGGGTCAGATCCAGGCAAACTGGGGGTTGCATGTTGCCCCCAGGCCTTAGGTTCCTTACCCCTTATGAGGTTTTGAGCCAGTTTTCAATTCTCCCTTTATTTTGTGCTTTCCTTCAGCTCGGCTGAACCTGAATGACGTTTCAAAGCAGCAGCGCCTGAACATGCTCAATAATGCTGCCACGGCTCTGATCTTCATCACCGTTATCCTCAACATCTTCATCACCGCCTTTGGTGTGCAGAAGACTGGTCTCTACCCTACCAGGAATACCAGGAGGCCGTACTGAGTCCTGGAGAGCAAGGGAATCAGGTAATGAAGAGACGAGGGCCCACTACCACTCACCTTTGGGAGGGTCAACTGATCCTGCAGTCAAAGAGTCACAGAAATTATCAGTGCTGTTGTGGAAGGGAAGATGGGGGATAGCCCTACACACATACACATGGCCCCTTTCAGCCTAGTGTTGTCCCCTGGGAAGCCTGGGTTGTGGGACAGGATGTCTCAGGAAAAGGAATTTCCTTGCCTCATTTCTAAAGCAAGAATGTCATGAGTCCACGTTTATGGGATGCATCAGGCACCTGATAGCAGCAGCTGGTCTCCAGCAGATAGCAAATCCCAAGCTGGATAATGAATAGGTGCCATGGGAGAGGAGCCAGACAGTGGAAAGGAGAATGTGGCACATACATGGGAATGGACCTGGCTGCAAAGAGATATTCGGGCATTGGCAAGGATCGGAAGCGGGATCAGGGCTGGACAGGGCCAAGGGCTATGGGAGGAAATAGAATCAATAGGGAAGGGAGCTCTTCAGAATGACCATTGCTCTGTGGTGGTATCTATTTTAGGAATCTAATTTCTGACCTTTATTCCTGGATGAGAGTCATGTGACTAGTACTCCAGACAAATGGCTGGGTTTGCAAATCAAATCTGAACCAGGTATCACAGCTTTAAAGTGAGGTGGGATCTCAAGTCTGAGAGGAGATGATAATAGCTTATAATTCTTGCCTGAATGGGTCCCACCAATGATGCTGGGGCGATGACCAGCAAGAGAGTCCCATAGGAATTTGGATTGGAGATGGAGGCAAGATCCTGGATTCAATGCAGAGGCACAAGGCTTTCACGAAATGCCACTGGATTTGGATCTTGCAAGATCTATGGGGTTTAGGGACTGAATGCCATATTTGTTGCAGCAACGATTATCTTCCTCTTTTAAGTGCGATAGAGAGCAACCCCTACAAATTAATATACATGCAACATTTTTAACTCCGCTTTCTGGGTTTTTCTTACACAGGAGTCAATCAGGCCTTATTCATATAATACTTTGGGATTCTTCAGCATGAAAAGCATGAAATAGAATTTAAGGCCTCATAAGCCACAATCTTGCAAGAACTTACGCACATGTTAACCTACAAGCACAGAAGTCATCTCACTGGACTAGAATTATGCAGTGTTAGAAGAGATGGGGATAGGGTGACCATCTTTGTTGGATGGAAATAAGGACAACTATATGAAAACTAAGAAACAGTGCTTTATTGTAAGGGACTTTAGGGAACCACCAAATGATGTCCCTTAGCATAACATGTATTTTCTCTCAAGTTTACAGTGCAATTATCATAAACTTCAATGTTGAAAATGGTCAGGGGACATCTGCTAAAACAAGGGACTGGTGGCCACATTTGCTGTGGCTCCACTGTGAATTAAGGAAAATACTTAGGGCAAATAGAAAGAAAATAAATGTTACAAACAATTGTGGCATGCTTTTGTGGCAAGCTTTTGCACAATGTGTGTGGAGGGGAATGAATGGCAAGAAATAACACAGGTGCATGTTATCTTCTATGAATAGCTTCTGAATCTTCTATGAAATACTTACTGGCCTGAAGCACCTCATGGAGTCTTATCTTGCATCTTTTGTTTTTCTTGCAGGCTGTGTGTGTGGCACCAGCTTTAGGGTCCCTTCCTTCAATTTTTTACTGACCTCAGCAGAATCCTATCAGCTGAATGGAGAGAAAGAACTCCTGAATTAATCTTCGACAATTGTGTGCAAAGTATTTTATGCAGGTTGATTATATAAAGCATGTGTGTTTTGCAGGAATGAAATTTCCATTGATTTTTCAAAGGTAATGCAAATTGTGCAGTGATTTCTAACAAACTTCACAAAAAGTTGCAAAAAGGCATTTTCCAAACTTGCTCCTGTGCATAGGTAAAGCACCTATTCCTGATTTTAATTGTCTGCTTCTCATATTCAATATTAACTAATTTTCTACGGGGTTTTATGAGTTTTATGCTCAATTATATTTATTTTGTGAGCAAACGTAATCATACTATGTCCAGATATTTTGTAACTGGCAATATTTAAAAGTAACACTATTGAAGAGTTTATGTCTCAAATATAGATTGGTGGATTGTTTTAGTGGGAGTAATATGAATAAAAGTGTTTTCAAGATTGTTTACAAAAATTAAATGAGATGCATTTTTGAAAACGATTAAGAATTTCTCTGCAACTTAAACCCCAATAGCACATAAATACTATGCTCAGTTATCACCACAAGTACCCTGTTAGATATTTTCTAAGGCAGTGGTCACCAACCAGTAGATCAGGATCTACTGGTAGATCTTGGAGCCTCTGACAGGTGATCCTGACTGGTTTGACCAAGAGGCTATCAAGTGCCAGCTCTTGCTGCCCCTCCTACCACTGCTGCTCATCTCCTGCCCTTTGCCCAGAGCTGGCCTTACCATGAGAACTGAGGTGGATGCCTCAGGTGCAGACTGTGGGAGGGGGGCGCCCCTAGCACCCGGAGAATTGAGACCTTTTAAAGTTTTGGCCCAAGCGAGGGGGCATGAGGGCGTCACTTGAGCTCCCTGCCTCAGGTGCCAAAATGTTGTGGGCTGGCCCTGCTTTTGCTTTGGAGCTGCCCCCACCCTGGGAGCCTCCTGCTTGCTGGGCAGGGCAGGGCAGGGCAGCGCAGGGAAGGGAAGGGAGAAGAGGGGGCACTGATGTCAGGGTGCCCCCCTCCCACCCTGTATTCTCCACAGAACAGATGGGGGAGGAGGGTACAGTGCTTGCGATAGAGGGTGTTTGCTGGCTGCTTTAGGGAGTGGTGCAGGGCCACGCCAGGGGTGAGTCTGCCTTAGCCCCACTGCATCACCACCCAGAAGCCATCTGAGGTAAGCAGTGTCCAGTTAGAGCCAGAATCTTGAACTCCTGCCCCAGTCATGAACCCCCCTTACACTCCAAACCCCTGTCCTAGCCCTGGACCCAAACTCCCTTACAGTCTGTACCTTGATTCTCCTTCTGCACCCCAACTCCCTAGCCCAGGCTCAGCTCAGAGCCCCTCTCACACTCCAAATCCCTTAGTCCAAGATCGGAGCCAGAGTCCCAACCCTTTGCCCCTGCCCGGTGAAAGAGAGAGAGGACAGGGGAGGGAGGGAGGACAGAGTGAGTAGGGTTAGGGCATCAGAGAAGGGGCACAAAGGAGGCAGGGCAAGGGTATTTTGGTCTGAGGTAGATTCTGGATTGCACTTAAATTCAAAAAATGATCATTTGCTTAAAAAGGTTGGAGATCACTGCTCTAAGATAACATGGTACTATAGGAAAAATAGGACATGTACCTGACTAAATGAAGTGGAACAGACAGGCTATCTCTACATATCTACCTATAGTGAGGAGCAAAAAATAGCATATACATCTTCAAGAGTACACTGGGTTTAAAACCTTTTTCAGTGTTATCATTTAAGGTGTTATAAGTAACAGGTGTGTTATTAAATACAAAATTTTAATCCTGTTGAGAATTCCACTGAACTGGAAAACGGATTTACATTTTTTAATTTCTACTTTGAGATTGTGTCTCTTCAGACCATTGTGAATTAACAGATTCTTTCAGGAAGCCTGATTTTTGGATTCTTGCTGTCACACTCAAAAACTGGGTATTTTTGACTTGTCAATTATTTGCATATTTGAGTTTAGGTTCTACCCTCACTGTTTGGGGTAGAAATCTAGCCTGTCTTACTGTTCTGTTTCAATCCCTATGATCAGGGGAGCCGACAGCCTTCGTAGGCCCATGGGCAAAGTGGAGGAGGAGCAAGGGCAGCTCCATGCTCCCAGAAGGAACAGGACCTCGGGCAGAAGGGGCGGAGCTGAAGGTAGCTTGAGAGCCGTCCAGAGACCGAACGTGGCACTCTGGCAGCCATTTTCAGGGCTCAGGGCTCTAGCTGCTGCTACTGCTGTAATAACAGTGGCAGGGGCTGGAAGCCCCGAGCCCCTATGAATCACTGGGCCCTGGGACAACTGCCTCCTTTGCCCCTCCTCTCCTCCATTGGCAGGCCTACCTGTGATGCATCCCTGATAAATAGGAAACTGCTCTATGTCCTCCCCTGCAGCCCCCTTGCTTCAGTGGGGGAAAACAGATCATGTTCTGACCCCCAAGTTCCCCCCCTTTGTCTTGGTCTCTGTAGCACGCCCACTGGGGTACAGAGTAATTTATATCCCAAGTATTAACCTTGTCTTTCGCTGGGTGAGACAAAGAAGAACATTTGACCTTTAATCATCAAAGAGTGTTGCTGGCAGACGTTTGAGGAACGCATAGACAGACGAGCTTTTGTAGGAAAAAAATGTCTTTATAAAACCCTTGGGGTGCCAGGCTACCCCCCTCCTAATAGAGGGGAGGCCTGGGAATCATCTTTAAGGCACAAAGCCACTTTAAGATGTGGAATTCAGAGGTACAGTACAGAATTAAAACACAAAGCATTGGTGTCTGGATAACATTTCGGACATATATAAGCCATGAGAGAAGGCAAGACATTCATATCAGGGAAACATTACAGATCATTACAAAAAAGTCACATCATTTTCATAGAATAGATAATTTCATGGTAAAACCCATTCCAACCCCTTTCTTGGATTGCAAAATAATCTCAGTCCCACAGTTCACAAGACAGTGGGAAGGATCTGATGCCATCAAATAATACCAATGGAAAGGAGATTAAGTTTTTGGAGAGGCCCACTTCTCCACTTTGGTAAAGCCAAGCGTCCCATAGCCTGTGGTGGAGCAGTTGCCCCACCCATGTAGGTGGAGGGTTAAAGCAGCCCTTAGAAAGGCTGCACAAAACCCAACCAATGGGAAAAAGCTTGTAGAGAGCCAATCAGGAGATGATTTGTTGGAGCAGCCAGTCAAGGCCAGGGAGGGCCATATAAGAAGGGCTCCTCAAAAAGCAAGTCAGTCTCTCCCTGGAGTGCAAGGGAGAAGAGCTGGATGCCTTAGAGGCTACCTTAGCTAGAGCAGTGCTGGGCAGACAGGGGAGTAAGAGTAAGCTCCAGCCTTAGGACTGCCAGCCTGAGACCCCTGATATAAAGGGTCAGGAAAGTGTTAGGGCTATGGGGAACTGCCCTAAGGAAACAGTGAAAGCTGGCGGAGTGGCAGCACATGGCTGCTGGAAAATAGGGTCCCTGGAGTAGTGCATGGGCTCGGCCTTCTCCCTGACTTGCCACTGAGGGGAGTGTCTAGGGTATAAACTGCAGCTTACCACTGAGGAGAGTGGCTAGACCAAAGATTTCAGTTTGCCACCAAGGCAGGTGATATGACTGAGGATTGTTGGTCCTCTGGAAGCGGGGAAGGAACCAAGTGGGGCATGGCCAGAGGGCTGTGCTCTGAAGAAGATGCTGTGAACTGTGGAGCAATGTGGTTGCCAGAGGTAGAGCAAAAGTGACAGTGGGTGAGATAAACTAGAGCAGAGGTGGGGAACCTAAGGCCCGGGAACTGGATGCAGCTCCCAGCTTGCATGGATCCACCCCTGAGGCCCAGGGCTCCCTCTCCCCAGTACTGGGGAGCCCACATTGGTGCTTCAGCCCCTCCCCACTGCCATCCTCCCACAGGGCTGGAGAACATCAAATCTACTAGTTCAGGCTCCCAGGTGTGCAAGGGGAATGTGGGGAGTGTCTTTCTCCTTCTCAGTCAGGGGCCACATCAATGAGGGTTAGATTTTTTTTTTTTTTTTTTTTTGCTTCTCACTTGTGTGTGGCCCCAACTGATTTTTCTGTGGGTCAGTGGCCCCCAATGCAAAAAAGGTTCCCCACCCCTCACTAGAGGAAGGTGCGTTGTTGGACCGAGCTAATGCCCAAGGTGGCACTGCAGGGGTGAGTCCTGCCACCTCCTTGCATAACTCGTTTATGATCTTTGGGGAACTGTCATTCCTAAGACCTGTCTCCTTTCTGATGGAGAACCCCATGCCCCACCTCTGTCCCATCAGTGCATAGAGAGAGAGCAGTCCTGAGACAGAATCTTTGATCCTTAGCTTCCGCTCAGTTCTTGGTTTTGATTGGGGTGCGTGTGCAGAGGAACAACCTTAGGGCTAAACCCTTGACTTTTTCATATGCATTCATGCTGGCCTGACAGCCCTGGAGCAGGTACTTTCCCCACTGCCCTGGGGCAGTCTCAACCTGGACCTCTCCTGACTACTTCACAGAGTGACAGGTGGGTTCAGTCTCCACAGAGAATTCCTACTGAGGACACTCTGCTGAGGCTGCCAGCTAGTGCCAGTGGTGATGGTGGCTTTTGTGCTGTGCGTAATTGCCCTCTGGGAATAGGACTGAAGACCCGACCACCCATTTCATACAGACCAACAGAGAGCCCTTACTAATTTTGATCACTACTAATGTGGTTGAAAGGCACAAAGAAAGGAGTGTAGCTGAGTGAGCACCACAAGATCCCAAGTGAAATCCTAATCCCACTGAAGTCAAAGGGAGTTGTGCTATTGCTATTAATGGAGCAAGGACTGCATCCCTGTTTCTATGACTAGCTCTAGGACAGCGAGACCCGCAGGCTGTTTCTGACTATCCATGCTTCACTTTCCCCACTGGCAAAACAATACTCTCCCCTTCACAAGTGCTCAGTACTAGTTCTAATTCATTGGATCCCGCTGCTTAGCTTCTAGGCCAGCCAGTCCCCGTTCCATACTCATTTCTTCAGAGCCAGTTCAGACATGCTATGAGATTAACAGTTCCAAGGATTCCAGAGTTTGGAAAGAGAATCTGCAAATGCTAGAGATTTGTTGAACCCTGCATGTATGTGCACAAGCCCCTGAAGAAAGTGGCATGATAGGACAGGCACTGAAAATGCATCTAACAATGCATATCAATTATTCCAGTAAGAAACAATCAGCTGCCAAATAATTAAACTTCTAAAACCAATTTTCATCTGTCACTTCCTTTCCCCTCCAAAAATCACTTTCATTTTATTTCTCAGTCATGAACAGTTCCTTCCCTAGTTATGAAGACATTTTTCACCATTGCTCCACTCTGTGTAGCATGTCCTCCCCAGTCCTGGAGGTTGCTGGTTGGTAGAGCACTGATTTAGTCCATATCAGCCAAGTTGGGGATCTCTGCACTCCTTGAATTATGAGAAAGGACTGAAACCCAGGCATTAGGGGGAAATCTTACCCCACTGAAGTCAACAGGAGTTTCACCACTGACTTTGGTTGGGGCAAGAGTTTGAACAAGGAAGGTCCCTTTCATATTCCTTTCACCAATGCAAAACCCTTTCACAAGTACAATCACCAAACTTCCACAGTCCTGTCATCCGTGCAAGCCCCAGGTCTTAAGTCCACCTCGCCAGTGCCAGCACAAGACTTATTCGGTCCTTCCATAAATGCAGCATTTTCAGCTGCTCCTGTTCTTCTACTATGCAGACAAACTGCTCTTCACTCACACAGCATCTACAATGGAGAAAACCTGTGAAATCATAACTTATTAATTTAACCCCCAGATGCTGTGTGTGATAGTCCAGGTCTAAGGAGCACAAAAATTCTTCTTCTGATCGACAAAGACACATTCTATTTTCCACTATTATGAGTTCCCAGCTGTTACTGGGACACACACTTATCTGACTGGCCTACAGATGCTGATATGTCTTGTCAGTTCCTAGTGAGATAGCCTCCCCTGTCCAAGTACCCAGCATGAGCCTCAGGCAGGGAACAGCTACCCATAGTGTGGCTCGTAACACTAGCCCCAGCTGGCTGTAGGCAAATGAGGTCTCTCCTAAGGGAAAATTATTTGCGTTTCTAGATATAGTCCATGGTTTGTTGAATAGGATTGTAGATTTTCTCAGTGATTGAAATGAAAGGGTGGGAAATAGGGCAAAACACTGGCACCCTAAAGTGCCTAACAGCTCCTCAGTCTCGTCTGGGCAGGTACATGAGGATGAGGACACTACATAGTTCAGAGAAGTTCCTTTGGTCCCTGTCCAAAGACATGGGTATCAGAGTTTTTTTCAAGTATCAAAAGAAGCAGCAACTTTATTGTAAATAATCCATTTTGGTTGTAACTGGGATGTTTTCCTTTTCTTCAATTTGCACCATGCAAGACAATCCAGCCTGCTCACCACCATACCTATCGTACCATCAGCAGGGGCTCCAGGTGCATCAGTGTCAGAGTAACCAGTCCTTTGCTTGTTCAAGGCTCCCTCAAATACAGAGAGAGTCACTGATCCTGCGTCTGGGACCCAATGGCTCATGAGTGCCAAAGGTAAGTTCCCACTCCTAGGCTTCTGATCATCCCTTTGCACAAGCACGTCTGACCTCCTCTGATGGCTCTAGAGAGAAACGTGGGTACTCTCGGCTGCGTGCCTAGGCGAAGTGCATGCTCTGATGCAAGGATGGCTGGCTCTGCCAGGCAGCTTTGGGGCCAAACATTACAGTGTCCTCAGCTGTCGTCGGTTCCACATGCCACGCTTGGAGTGAAATCGGTGAAAAAAGTTCCTCAGGGAGAGCCGTTCTACTTCCAGGCCAGCCTGCAGGATCCTGTGGAGAAGGGAAAATTCAAGAGACAATCAGCTCAAGGAGACACTGCAAGGAAGGGCTTGCAGTATGGGTGGCTTAGGTGATGCAACAGTCTCCTGTGAACAGTGTCATACAACAAACCATTGCACTAATGGAACGGCCCAACAGATGGTTAAGGCTCACAACCAAGGGCTGCAGAGGTCTAGGACTTGTACAGAATACGGAAAGGGAAAGGGAAAGGGATATCATATAAACTTTTAAAAAAATCTTAAGTGCCCCATCTGGCCCCGAATGACCTTACTCCTCATAGCTGCTCTGCTGGGCATGTATTATCTGTTCTAGAACCTAGAGGCCACAGCTGAGATCAGGGCCCCATTATACTCAGCACTGTTCAAAGAGCAGGAAGAGGTTGAAAATATGCACTGGGAGCAACTGTCCATGCCTGATGTACCCAATGCCCACCCAGGATGTGTCAGGAAGGTGCCAGGACTCTGGAGATAGCCCTCTCTGTTCCTGTGTCAGTGGCTATGAGGAGGCATTCTGGTTGTAGCAGCCTTTAGCTCTGCCAGAAAATGTGTTGCTTAAGAGGACATCCTCAGGGGCTCACCCTCAGTGCCCTTTGTCACCTTCATTTCTTACTGCTCTACTTCAGTAGGAATTACAGCTCACTTCTCTCTCTTGCCCTGTCACCTCAGGACTACATGAGACTGCTTTCCTGAACCCCTTGCAAGGGCAGAGCTGATGGAACATCTCCACTCACCTGTCCACGAGTTCCCAGTCCTCTCCTCCCCAGCGATCCCGGAACTCTTTGGTGTTCATTCCTCCAATCTGATCCAGATCAGACTTGTATATGCCTAGGAGACCAAATCCATTCACCTCCCAATAGCCTGCAGACACAACCAAAAGTCCTCAGCCGTGCAGGCATCCTAAATCACTTCTGATTGAAGCAGGAGAGATTCCCACACTTGGACAAACAACCACACTTCCCCGGGACAATACCTGAGCCAAAGGAATGGGAAGAACAAGCAAACTAATCCCGGCAATTCTAGTGGCAACAAATCCAGTACCAAGGTACAAGGTGTTAATGTTCAGGGCAGAGAGCATGCGATCCTTTTATATCTGACAGATGCTCTCACCTCTTATGTAACAGCAACATACTTTCTGATTCACCTGCCTTATCCCCGCATCGAGGGTCTGTCCCCGTCCCTTGAGAGTTAATACTGAAACTGGAATTTTGCCCTGATTTTGATAGAATCCCAGGAAGTCCCGCCCTCCCTCTTTGGAGGACCACCTGTACCTAGCAGCAGTGCTGCAGTGCGTGCACCTGCACAGCCATGCTGCCCCGACTTGCTGTCTCTCAGCTCTTCTCAGCAGAGCTTCTTCTCTGACCAATGAAAATAGAACAATGAACTCAGATCAAAGTGAGAAGCCCTCAGGCAGTGGCTCTAGTGGCCCTTGCATCAATCAATCCCCTTGGGTCAGTTTGGCCCCAGTGGAGATGAACCTGGGAACAAGTTATGGCCACAGCAGAAAGAAATGAAGAGAGCAGATGAAGGTGCTGGAGAGAGGGGAGAGAAGCTGATAGAGGGGAGAGATTTTCTTGAGGAAGCCAAGTGTATAAAAAGCCCCTGAATGGGATCCTGCATCAGTACATCACTCACATGCCTTATATGGCTCTACTTGTTTAACAGACTGATACCATGCACAGTACCAATTCCTTTGGCGTCTGGCATTGAGATTTTAAACTCAGTTAAACCCTATCCAACATTTATTCACTCTCTTAGTGGCCCTGGTAATTCCCGCAAGGTCAAGATTTTGCAGGGCCCCCATAACGGTGAAGGAACATAACCGGAGGGTATTTCAGACTACAAGCACCTTCACCCAGGCCTGAGCCACACAGCTCTGGCCTCTCACCTTCAGGCCACTGCGGAGATGCACCGCACTGCAACCTCATAACCATGGGTGCAAACGCCATCTTGCCCTCCACGCAGTGCTTCCGAATCGAGTCGATGACCCCAGCCGGGAAGTGGATGTGGAGATCACACAGGAAGATGATACTATGTGGATCCTGGAACCAATCACCCAGTTATCAGTCGTAGAGAGATTTCACCCCCTGCCATCGACCTGGCAGCACAGCTTATCAAAGGTGGGTGTGTTTGTGGGCACTACCCTGGCTGACACTGCTATCAGCCACATCCACATCCTACTCTCACTTTTGACTATCTGGATTATGCCACTTGTACCTATTGTTAACACTGTTGAATAGACTTCAATGCCAGCCACCTCTCTCACAGCCCAGATAGGCAAAAGCCAACCAGCAGCCAGCAACTGATGCCCCATAATTGTCCAGGTTACATAGGGCCTCGTCCTCTTTTACAGCAGAGTCCCTTTGCATTGCTCTACATATAATTTACACTCACTCCAAGGCCTTTCTGCCCTGGCAGAGCAGTTTAAAGGGGTCCTCATGTAAATAAGAATCAAGCCCCTAGTCTCTGCCCCATGACTCCTGTGCCACAAGCAGCTCACCCTCAGTGCACATGGGGCCCAAAGCCTCCTCTGAGATCTTGGACTGTGCTGTGGCGGCTGGGCAATCAAGCCTGCTTTGATGTGGTCTATCCCCATCTCACTCAGAGCCTCGCTGGGGTTTGGGGGGGAGTGCTTTCTCATCAGTAAAAAAGTGGGAAATGCATTTGGAAACATATAGACTGGATTAAAGCAGGCCTGTGTAGGGTGGGCAAGTGGTGGGGGGTTGGGAATGAATTAGAACAGTCTCTTTCACCACAAGGTCACAAATCCAAATCCAACTTCAGGCTTGTAATGTTGTTGCCATGCAATGGCTGTAAAGTGACCGGTGTGAAATATGTTACCAGAGTCTATTTCCTTGCAGGCAGCGTTCACATCCCAGAAGCCACTGGCACCATGTTTCCCCTCCTTGTTTGGTTGTCCCAAGTGGGAGGCTAAGACCTGAATGGGCCACAGAGACTGATCTCCTCAGTGTGGCCCCTTCAGGTCATGACTGAGGCACACTGCCAAGGCAGCATGAACGGGACATGTGCACTGACCCTGGCAATGCCGAAAGACAAAAGTTTCCGAATGACAGGTGGGGGCGCGTGAGTACACGGTGCCGGTGATGTACAGGAGCTACACATCTTTCTGCAGCTTGGGTACCACAGCTATCAGGCACTCACCTTCACTAGGTTTATCCCAGCCTGCAGCCCTGCAGAACGCTCAAAATTCCCTGTCAGCTTCAAGTACTGATAACTGTTGGCAAGACAGACAGGAAACAGGTTGAGTTCTTTAACCACACAACAACGCCTTCTAGTGAGGCTCGTTAGCTCACTTGCAGCTGCCCCCAGTTTCTAGAAATCTCTCAAGGAAGTCAGGGAGATATTGGGAGTGGAGGAGGAAGCATCTTGGTTCAATGCTCACTTACAACTCTTGGGAATGTTCAATTGGGTGGATGCTATTGCATTAGAGTGTAATCCACATTCACCCTCACCTTCGGGCCCTATGCAGCACAGTGAGCACCTTCCAGGGCCCCACAGGTGGTTGAAATAATCATGGCCTAGACTGCAGAGATGTGGGTTTAACTGAGACCTGCATTCCAGAATAGATATCTCAAAAGTACTTTGAAACCCACCCACAAGTGCTTCACCAGCACAAAGCACTCTTTGGTTGTATGATTTGGCACATATCTTAGGTCTCATCCGGTGGAACTACTCCTAGCTGGTTCCAGAGCAAAGGGCAGCTGCATGGTGTTATGGTGATGAAGTTGTCATGGTGATGGAAAAGGGAAAAAACAAAGTTGCAACTTTAAATCAAACTTCTGGTTAGTTCACATTCCAGTCTTGTGTAAGGAGGCTACATGGGAACTCCTTGCCTGAGGGGGTTGTGAGGGCTAGGACTGTAGCAGGGTTTGTGAGAGAACTAAGGCTATGTCTAGACTGCAAGCCTCTTTCGAAAGAGAGCGTCTAGACTGCACGTTGAACTTTTCGAAAGAAAGCATCCAGTGAGTCTGGATGCTCTCTTTCGAAGAAGCCCTATTTACATTGAAGAACGCCTTCTTGCGAAAGAGGAACTTTCGAAAGAAGGCGTTCTTCCTCGTGAAATGAGGTTTCCCGCCATCGAAAGAAAAGCCGCGTTCTTTCGAAATGAAATCGAAAGAACGCGGCTTGAGTCTGGACGCAGGGGAAGTTTTTTCAGAAAAAGGCTACTTTTCCCGAAAAAACCCCTGAGTCTGGACACAGCCTAGATGAATTCATGGAGGTGACATCCATCAATGGCTATTAGCCAGGATGGGTAAGGAATGGTATCCCTAGCCTCTGTTTGTCGGAGGGAGGAGATGGATGGCAGGAGAGAAATGGCTTGATCATTCCCTGTTTGGTTCAGTTCCTCTGGGGCACCGGGCATTAGCCACTGTCGGCAGGCAGGATACTAGGCTGGGTGGACATTTGGTCTGACCCAGTACAGACATTCTTATGTTCTTATGGGGCCTTGCTTCTTTCTATATACAGTATAGGGTCTCTTGTGAGGCCAGGCCTCGGGAGACTGTTTAGCACAATGGCTTGATCATTCCCTGTTTGGTTCAGTTCCTCTGGGGCACCGGGCATTAGCCACTGTCGGCAGGCAGGATACTAGGCTGGGTGGACATTTGGTCTGACCCAGTACAGACATTCTTATGTTCTTATGGGGCCTTGCTTCTTTCTATATACAGTATAGGGTCTCTTGTGAGGCCAGGCCTCGGGAGACTGTTTAGCACTACTTGGTCTGGAGTCCTAGCCTAGACCTACTAATGTGAAAGAGTGGCTCTCAAACCTTTCTTAGCTGGCCCATCTTTGAAAATATTTCAGACTGTGGCGACATTCCCCTCCCCCTCCCTGGCTTACCATATTTCAAGTTCCCAAAGAGAGGATACTACCAAAAGTTGGAGGGGGAGCAGCCCTCTGCCTGCCCAACTGTGAAGGCAGCACCGCCTGCAGCAGCAACAGCACAGAATGGTGGCATGGTATGGTATTGCCACCCCTACTTCTGTGCTGCTGCTGGCAGTGACGCTGCCTTCATAGCTGGGCACGTGGCCAGCAAGTGCTCTTGCAACCCCAGTACCCCTCCAGAATAGCCTTTAGACCCCCTTTTGCATCAGGACCCCAGTTTGAGAGATGCAATTCTACAACACAAAAGAGAAGGTCCTGACGGTGTGTGGTGCAGATGGTTACTTTAGGTAATTGCGACAGCGAGACACACAAGTTAGCTTTCTAAATTCTCCTTTCTTTTAGTCCCACTCATCACTGATTTGTCACCTTCTTGGCTTTCCCCCTTTCTCTACCACTTGGAGACTTGCCTTTGACTCTTTACCGCAAACCTGAACAGGAGTTGCAAAAAGGGAGATGCATCAGGGTGGATGGACTGTACAAGAGACCTATGTGTGAAGGCAGAGGGTGACAGGGTATGTAGTATGCAGATGCAAAGTGAATGTGTGCGTGGCTTTTGTCTGCAGGGGTGCGTGTGTTTGAGTTTCTATACGCAGATGGCTGGGGAGATTAATGTGTGTTTGCAGGGGTGTGCCGGTGTGTCGTTTGCATGTGAATAGGTGGCATGCTCACCTGCGTAAGCTGGACCTTTTCAGAGCCTTCTCTACATCCATGTCATCACTGCTGTAGTCTGCGATGATGACATTGAAATATGGGTCCTTGGTAACTCTGGACAGTTCCTCCATGTCAGAAATGAACTGCAATACCCAGCGTGCCTGGTTTTTCACTAATCATGGTGGGGACAGGGATAGGAGAACAAAATCAAAGCAAAATTGAATTCATGCCTTGACTGCAGACAGCTGAGATTTCAGCCTCCAGTCAGATCCAAAGAGGAGTTTCCCTCTAAGCTGCGCAGTCACCTATTAAGCCCCGTGTCTAGCACCTCTCTCCCTGGTCCCAACCTGCCACGGACTTACTGTGACTGGGGGATACATGCCCTGGCCCACCCTGCTGGAGCTGCTGTGGCTGGGGAGAGATGCCTTTCACCTGGCCCCAAGCTTCTGTGGTTAGAGGGGGGTTGAGGTAGCTCTCTCCATCTGGGGCAGCCTGCGCCGCAAACCCATCAGCCCTTGCCCCACCCCAGAACAAGCCCCCTCAGCCAGAGCCCTCAGCCCCCCCATACCACAACCCAGTGCTCCTGTCTGGAGCTCCTTTCCACACTTTGAACCTCTCGGCCCCATCCCCACCATACACCATCCATGTGCAGAATGAGTTTTGCTATGTGCACCTGTATGGACGTGATCTATCGCACCTCACCTCCCTACTGGGGCACATAACAAAATTCGTTCTGCACATGGACATAAAAAAAATTAAAGACAACACTGGTACCAGGGAGCAATCTAGGGACAGGCCCAAACGGAAAACCCAGATATGAATGCCCTGAGCTTGGTGGCCATTTTGATTCACATCTTGGTATTGCAGGGTGAGCCCATTCCTAGTCTATTCTGAGAGTCATACTTCAGGTAGCTCAAAGCATTCTTGCGGCTGGTCAGTTCTATTTCTGATGCAGTTTCATTTGGAGGGAAAAGGTAGTGGAGCAAGGTGTGGACACTGGCACAGACATGGTGTTCAGAGCTGTGTCTGGACCAGTTCCCAGCAGAGTCCCTCGAAGGCTGGATCAGGGTCAGGCCACAATCTCCCCACTCATGTTTTATTTTGGAAGAGCCTAGATCTCCTGACCTGGTACTATGAAGTGGACAACAGCACGATGGTTCCAGGAGAAGCCCAGAGGCCAGCACAGGTCCGGCTCATTCGCGACTCCCATCAGTTGACGTCGGCGGCCCCATGCCAGGTTCCTCATGTTCATCTCCTCCTGCTTGTTGCTGCTGATGCCTGGCCAGCCCCGCGCAAAGACATACTCTGAAAAGCGCACGAGCTGCCCTCCCCTTTCCAGCAGCTCCAGCTCCAGCAGGTAGCGGCTGCCGCGCAGGCGGTCCTGGCGCTTCTCCACATTCACAATGCGCTGCAGGAGGAATCTCCTGCAGGGATGCAACAGAGTGATCTACATTCCTCCCCACCTCCACCAGTCACTCCTCTCCAGGGCATCTCAGCCAGGAATGCTATTAACCCTTTCACGCCCAGGCTACAGCGTCACTGCACCACCCCCCATGACCCACGTCAGGTTTAGGATTTTGACTGGCCTCAGGGTTAGTCACTTGGGATTAGATCTGGGATCCAAACCAAGACAGAAAAGCTGATGAAGAAAGGGAAATAAAGATCCCGCCAAAATCACTGTTCAAAGTGAGTTTAAGTTTTTCTAGTACTGGAGAGGCACAGCATGAGGGGCAGTAACCTTCTTGCATCCTGTCAGTGGCTCCGTCTACACAGCTTCCCTCTTCCGCAAAAACCTATGCAGATGAAGTACGGATTAGCATATTGCCACGCTTCATTTGCATAATTAATTAGAGGCTGTTTTTGCGCAAGAGCTGTTCTTCCTCATTTTTCAGGAAGAATGGCTCTTGCACAAGAGGGGGGGTTTTGCATTAAAAGGCGCGGAGCAGACGGCTCCCAGTTAATTATGCAAATGAAGCATGGCAATATGTTAATCTGCGCTTCGTTTGCATAGGCTTTTCCGGAAGAGGGACGATGAGTAGATGTAGCCGGTGAGTCTGAACCCTCAACTGGCAGGGAGACATTAGCTCAGTTCCTATGTCCATTAAATGCTTAGCTGAGAGAGGGAGTAATGCCCAATGCTGGTTTACATGTTCTGGGAATATGCTCACTGGAAAGTGGACTGAAACCTACACTCATTTCACACCAGCCACTACACCGTTGTGTTAGACAGACCCTAGTGAGTTGCAGTGAAGGCGTTTTCTTCCATTCTCAGTCCATTCTGGTGTTCAGGTTCCCTTCCCCCTTCACAGTTCATTTTCTAGGGCTGTATTTTCCATCTCTAGAGTTTTCGCTCTAATTTCTACTGGCTCCTTATACCATGCTGTGGCTCCTACGCAGCATGATATGGAGACTCGTGAGAGAGGACCTTGGGGCTGCAAGAGACAGTTTTTGCCTTACCCTTTGCTTCTCTGGTTGAGTTTCTTCATGAAGATGCGTGTGACCTCCAGGGCCTCCCTCTCTTTCAGCAGCAGGTTCCCTGATGTGTTGCATTTCAGGTCAATCCAGTCTGTCCGCAGCGCGTGGAAGTCCAAGCTGCTTGCGCTGAAAGTCTGCTCCCAGTTTACTACCTGATCAAATGCTGGCATGTACTCAAATCTCTCCTCCTCCTCCCCCTCCCCCTCTGCTTCCCCTTCCACTTCTTCCTCCTTCTCTTCTCCTGCTGGCTCAGCAGGCTCTGGCTGAAACTCCACCTGCTCTCTTGCCAAATCCACATCAATGCCATCAGCTGCCTTCTGTTCCGCAATGTACGACTCCACCTGGTTTAGCCACTGGGCTTCGTAAAGGGTCTGCTTGCCAAGGCTGGCAGCACTTACAGCTCTACTACTTGTTCTGCCAGAAACTGGATTTTGTCTCCTTGCTTGTATATTGCCTGCTGGCTGGTCCTTGGGGCTGGTTGCATTACGGTATTTCTCAAGAGGCGCCACTTCCCTTGGAATCCTGGCAGCAGAATCCCTGGAATTGTTGGGTGTATGTTCCCAGGGCTCTTGAGGTCTTGTGATAGAAGGAGGGTCCTGGCCTCCCACTCTCCTTTTGGGCAGTAACTTTCCATGGATGTCCCTAACATGACGAGGAGGGTTTCTGGAACTGTCCTTGACCTTGATTTTTAGATAGGGCCTCCTTCTTGGTAGCTTTCTTTCTAGACCAGTATGATGGCTGCTTTGGTTGGCTGAAGTCCTGTGAGCTGGCTTAAAGCGGGGCCTTTTTGCTCCTCTCTTTTGCAGTCTCTCTCCCGTATTACCATCTACAAGCAAGAGGAGCTTCCGACGCCCCGGGAGGGAATAGTCACTGTAAACGTCTCCGTAGCCTGCTATTGTATTGGGGATTGCCTCAACTCCCACTGGCTCTGCTCCCCACTTGCTGGGATTCCTTGGGGGACTGGTGCTCTTTGCATCCTGGTCCATGTACTTAAATTCATCAGGATTCCCTTCCTCAGAGCCTGCAACATAGATAACAGTGACATCTCTAACCTACTCTGCTGCCCTCGCTGCCCTGACCCACACCCAAAAGCAGAAGGGAGTTAACCCATCAGTTCATGCCCCTTTATGGGTCCACCACCAGGGAAGCTGCTTTGGCTTGTTCTCATTCACTGTCATGGTGTGAATGGTGAGTATTCCCTCTTCCAACGCTCCGAGGGTGCTCTGGGGAGGGGAAGCTGCGCTAATTCTTGTACTAGTATCCTTGGCACATGTGGGCCAGTCTTCCCAATGGCCATAGCTATTAGGCATGTGTAGACGTGCCCCTCCCCCAGCTATGGCCAGAGGACCTTGGGGCTGCAAGAGACAGTTTTTGCCTTACCCTTTGCTTCTCTGGTTGAGTTTCTTCATGAAGATGCGTGTGACCTCCAGGGCCTCCCTCTCTTTCAGCAGCAGGTTCCCTGATGTGTTGCATTTCAGGTCAATCCAGTCTGTCCGCAGCGCGTGGAAGTCCAAGCTGCTTGCGCTGAAAGTCTGCTCCCAGTTTACTACCTGATCAAATGCTGGCATGTACTCAAATCTCTCCTCCTCCTCCCCCTCCCCCTCTGCTTCCCCTTCCACTTCTTCCTCCTTCTCTTCTCCTGCTGGCTCAGCAGGCTCTGGCTGAAACTCCACCTGCTCTCTTGCCAAATCCACATCAATGCCATCAGCTGCCTTCTGTTCCGCAATGTACGACTCCACCTGGTTTAGCCACTGGGCTTCGTAAAGGGTCTGCTTGCCAAGGCTGGCAGCACTTACAGCTCTACTACTTGTTCTGCCAGAAACTGGATTTTGTCTCCTTGCTTGTATATTGCCTGCTGGCTGGTCCTTGGGGCTGGTTGCATTACGGTATTTCTCAAGAGGCGCCACTTCCCTTGGAATCCTGGCAGCAGAATCCCTGGAATTGTTGGGTGTATGTTCCCAGGGCTCTTGAGGTCTTGTGATAGAAGGAGGGTCCTGGCCTCCCACTCTCCTTTTGGGCAGTAACTTTCCATGGATGTCCCTAACATGACGAGGAGGGTTTCTGGAACTGTCCTTGACCTTGATTTTTAGATAGGGCCTCCTTCTTGGTAGCTTTCTTTCTAGACCAGTATGATGGCTGCTTTGGTTGGCTGAAGTCCTGTGAGCTGGCTTAAAGCGGGGCCTTTTTGCTCCTCTCTTTTGCAGTCTCTCTCCCGTATTACCATCTACAAGCAAGAGGAGCTTCCGACGCCCCGGGAGGGAATAGTCACTGTAAACGTCTCCGTAGCCTGCTATTGTATTGGGGATTGCCTCAACTCCCACTGGCTCTGCTCCCCACTTGCTGGGATTCCTTGGGGGACTGGTGCTCTTTGCATCCTGGTCCATGTACTTAAATTCATCAGGATTCCCTTCCTCAGAGCCTGCAACATAGATAACAGTGACATCTCTAACCTACTCTGCTGCCCTCGCTGCCCTGACCCACACCCAAAAGCAGAAGGGAGTTAACCCATCAGTTCATGCCCCTTTATGGGTCCACCACCAGGGAAGCTGCTTTGGCTTGTTCTCATTCACTGTCATGGTGTGAATGGTGAGTATTCCCTCTTCCAACGCTCCGAGGGTGCTCTGGGGAGGGGAAGCTGCGCTAATTCTTGTACTAGTATCCTTGGCACATGTGGGCCAGTCTTCCCAATGGCCATAGCTATTAGGCATGTGTAGACGTGCCCCTCCCCCAGCTATGGCCCTCTAGCACAGTGTTTCTCAACTAGTGGTATTCAAGAGAAGTCTGGAAGGTACGTCAACACAACTGAAATTTGGGGAAAACTGAATTTTTGTTTTAAGTTTTACAGCGCTTTATTATTTTTGTACTTTTTACACCCAAAAATTTCATCGCTCACCTGGCTACGATTAAGTTGTTTAAACAAATGTGTTGGAATGGTAGAAAACAAATTTTGTGTGTCTGAAAACTCTAGGTACCAGGGGTACTTATAATTTTTTTTAAAAAGAGGATATTTTATAAAAAAAAAAGGGTTGAGAAACACTGCTCTAGCACAGGTGAACACTGAATGAAGAGCACTGAGATTGAGGAGGAGGGGGCTGAATGTTGCTCCTGGGTAGGCTGTATGAGGAGGGAGAGGGAAACTGAGGTTTAGGGACCACAAGGGGAGAGAATAAGTCAGGGGAGGCTTCCCCAACCTGAGCTTTCACTGATATCTTTAACAAGCAATAAATCTACATTTTTTAAAAAGATGAAATGTGCAAAATTATGAATAAATATGCAAGCCATATAATTAAATAATTTGCATGATATGTCACATGTGCAAGTTCACAAAACTTGGCAAGTCTGATGGCCCTGCCCCCTCAACCTGGCCATGGCTCTTTGGCACACATGAGCCATGCTTTCCACTGCACATGAAGTCAGCTGCATCTTCCATCCATTCCAGGGAAAAGGAGACATTAAAAAAAATTGATAAGACAAGAGAGTCATCCTGCCTCTCACAATAGGGTCTCTACCTGTCTGCTCCGTTTTCTCCCCAAACTCCAGATTTCTTCTCTCTGGCTGGTCAATGTTCATATACTTATAGAATCCAAACCTTCAGAAGTAAGAAGGAAATGTAGGCACAGCTATAAGTTACAGAGGAGTGTTTCTCTGTTGGAAGTATCATACCATGATAAATGCCATCTTACCGCCCCTTACATCCATTCAAAATGCTCCTGCAAAGACCACATCTCATTCCTCTCTTTCCAAACCCCATCCTTGGCATCCACTGGTCCCCTTTTAAACTCTGTATCAAACACAAGCTACTTGTCTTCTTTTTAATTATCTCAGAGAACTAGAAGGGACCTTGAGAAGTCATTAAGTCCAGTCCCCTGCCTTTATGGCAGGACAAAGTACCATCCCTAACAGATTTGTCCCAGACCTCTACATGGCCCCCCTCAAGGATTGAACTCATAACCCTGGATGTAGCAGGCCAAAGCACAAACCACTGAGCTATACTCATCTCTCATACACCTTTGAGTCATCACCTTTATTGTCCACTATTTCAATGTCCCCTCAACCAGCCTCCTTCTTTCTCCCACACCGCCCCCATATGAATGAAGGGAGCTCTCATTCATATGAAGCAGCAAGTCACTTTCCC